GAGGTTGATTATTATTATCATCATTGTTATTATTGTTTAGTTCTAGGAAAGCACCTAAGATCCCAGAGTAAAGGGCATGTGCTCTAACATTTCGTGAATAATTCATTTCAACGATCAAACTTCTATATTCTGAATATGGGTTACTGTTAGGAGTTCTTTTCAAGAAACAGTGTAAATAAATGGGTAACAAATGTTTTCTCTTATGAAGTAGAACTGATCTGATCTCATCTGGTATAGGAGAGAGGTGAGGAAAAGTGTATCTCATTAAAGGTTTCTTACAAGAATCGCATATAGGAATTCTCAGATTAGAGATCCTATTTATATTAGGGTTGAAGGACAAAGTAACTCCTAGTATATGCTGTTCTAAGGGATAAGTAATCAAAAGGTCATAGATTATCTAAGCCTTTTTAGGATATAAGAGTTTTCTGCAGTATATGCAGGCAATTTGAGGCTATTGGGTTAAGATATTGTTCTGGAATCTGTGATCAGGGATGGAAAAAGACATGTTTAGGTTTAAGATGAAGTTTAATGTTTTTATAATGTTTTTTATTTAATTTAATATCGTATAGCAACAACGTTCAAATCATTCAAGCAATCTTGGTAAAGTACTTCCAGGACTCCTAATTTATGTTAATTTAAGTTTTATTTTTTATTTTATTTTATTTTAATTTAATTTAATTTAATTTTTTTAAACATATTTTAATAACTTAAATTAACCAAAATCGAAATACTATAAGTCTATAATATAGTTATTATATTGTACAGGATGATCATGCTAAAATAAAAATGAACGAACGAAAAATGTCATGTATTGAATCATGTGCTATCCTTTACCTGTCTGTTGTATAGGTTCTGCAATTTAGTACAGGGCCTCCAGTGTGTTAAGTGCGATATCAGTGGTAGTGGTTGTGTTTGACGATTGTCAGCCAGAGTTGATGGTAATACAGGATTAAGATCATCTGCATGTAACGTGATGTCATTTGATAGATTAACTAATGTCTCATATTCATTATCGAACGTGAAAATGTTATGATTTTGATGGGCTATTTCTTCGTGAAGAGGGAGGGAATCTCGCATCATATTTTATTTTATAAGAAAAAAAAACAAAAAGGAAAGTTATAACCGAATATATTGATTATTCTTTAAACATTTTTGCGAGAAAGAAAAATATATTAAAATATAGTTTCAGAGGTACAGTATATTCACTTTTAATTAGTTGTGTACTTTTTTTGTACATTCTGTTTATTTATAGAGATAAAGCGGTGTTAGGAAAAATTTGGAAGGTTTTTTTTTTTATTTTTATCACTTATTATTTTAGGTATATTATTTATTTAACTGTATGTACATTTCTTACGATTTCAAAATATGTATAAAATATTATTTTGTTTGATTCATTTTTAATAAAAATAATATAAAATAAAAAATAACTTCATATTTCGGAAATCAGAGTAATACTAAAATTTTATTTTAAAGAATAAATAATAAAAATAAAAATTAGAGTTTGATTTTAAAATAAAACCAAACGTAACCTTTCAATTCTGATCTTGTTCGTCAGTAGCATTGGTAGCATCGGTGGCATCAGTGGCATCGGTCTTAGCATTAGTGGTAGCTTCAGTCATTTCAGCCAGAACAGGATTTGATTCCAGAGCTTCTGAGAGACGAGTCCTGGTTGAACCCATCTGTGCTAACGTCGTTTGACCTCTCTTTGATCTAGGGGTCGCGCCTCATGAAATATGATTAGACCTGCTATTACCGCTGCTATTACCCTGCAACCACGGTAGATTTAGACCGCTTTGGTTATTTTTAACAGCACTGTTGCGAGTGGATATCATTGATATGTCCTCAAGCCTCACTACATGTTTTCTGGGTGTCTTTTCCTCTTGTGTAAGCTGATTGTAAACGGGTGGTTCATAAGTAATTAGGCCTACCAACATAGCTGTAGTCGACCTCACTATCGTTTAATTAACAGCATTCATCTTGTTTGCTAGATACCTCACATTCAGATCATAGGTCACATCCACCTAAAATTCCTGGGGTTCCCTTTCTCCTAAATTTTCTTCAACGTAAAATTCCAGGTGGTGCTTTCCATCAATATGTTTGACAGTTTTGGTTGTAATACCGATGACCATGATACTGATTCCTACCGACGGTATTATGTCAAAATCCAGGTTTTCTAAGACCTTGATGGATGTGGTATTCACCTTAAAAGAAGCGGGAAAGATAGATAGTTTTTGAAAATTTAATTTAAGATAAGAAAGGAAAAGAAAGGAAAGGAAAGGAAATAAACTATTGTATATACCGAATACCACCCTGCACATGCGATAAATTTGTCCCTTAAAAAGATCACATCCCCTGTGTCAAACTTCTCGATCTGGATTTCGATATCCCAGTCTGAACGGATGAACGTCTTGATTCTTAAGTAAATTACCTTCGTTAGATCATCGTCCGATAATCTTGATACAGCTGTAATCTCTTTGACAGTAAAGTTTTGTGTAAGACGTTCCGTGGATTCGTGAACATAAGCAATGGTAGTGAGTTTTGCGGACATTTTTTTTTTTTTTTTAAATTTTAAATTTTAATTTAATTAATTAAAAAAAATTAAATTTAACAGGTAACCAAAAAGCATCCTTTTTTATACCTTCTTTCACAAACATAAGTTTCTTTTTTTTTTCTTCATGAAAAGAAAACCCAAGCCCGATCAAAGCCAATTCATTCATTTACAATATGTTTACAATATGAATTTTAACAATATTATATTCTTCATCGTATAACGTGAAATTCAACTTCATGATATCTCGAAAATGAATAAAAAACCAAGCCAAGACAAATTACAACAATATTTTTTGTTGTTTGTATGGCATGATAAAAAAATATGGAGCATACTTTCAAAAGTTAATTTTACTATTTTAAGAAGTTCTAATCTCGAGACAATTTTCTTTCAAAGGAAACAGTACTTTGCAGAATAAGAAACGGTCTGTAATTTGCCTTCGCCATAGTTCTCTTTTGGGCGAAAGAAATAATTTAATTATATTAAAAAATATTATGTCGTGAGAATTTATGTCGTAAGAAAAAGTAATGGAGGCAAAGTTTTTTTTTTTATTTTTATATCTATACGTTTTGTGTTTAAATTATATCATGTTACATCATGTTTAATTACGAAAAACGTTTTAGTCGTTTCATACTAATAATTAAAAAAAACCTAAAATGGCAACTGATGACCGATAGGATAAGCCACCTAGCCACCTAGCCACCTAAAAAAAAAAATAATCCCAATTTTAGTTTAGCTTAATAAATGATAATTTAACAAACAAATAATTAAAATAAGCCACCAAAGCCAAAACGTATTCATTTATTAGTTTTGGAAATTAATAAATCATATTCAAACTAATGAAATGACAAGCCACTACAAAATAAAATGCATATATACAACCCACGTTCGCAAGGAGGGTGGGTGGGGTGTCATAATCCATAATCCAAAATCTACTAACTATTGGTAATCGAGTGAGAAATCCTAATCGATTAGGATTAGTACTCTATACTATTACAACCAAAATTGTGCAGATCGATTTAACCAAAAAAGAGTATCTTGGGCAAGTGTTTTGTTGATCTTAAAACGGGAACTTCGTGGGGACGATTAATATTTTGATATAAGAACACGAGACTTGTATTACTGTATACAAAGACCGATTAGGAAAAAATATAGGTCTGTTTTCTACCTCACGATAATTTCTGCCGATCATATCCGAATCAGCAATTAACCTTTTACGTAAAGGATTTGGCATCTATTCAGATTTTAAACTATCATTTGATTGAAATGTAGTTTCATCACGAGTAATAAATATATGTAACTTTTCATTATTATTTAAGATTAAATCAATTCGTTATTCAAGATCATTACCCTCAAAAGTTGGCATAAGCTTTTGATATCTAAAATTAATTATAAAAATATTAAATTAATTAATCTAATTAAATTAAAACATTGAAATCTATTATTATTAAATAAACTTACATACTAATTTCTTCAAAAAATTGCTTTCAATATTCAATTACGTCTGATCTTTCATGTCCACATACATTCCTTTTTGGTATCTGTCATAAATAAATCCCATTTTTTTTAACCATCTATTTGCTGTTCGAATGCTTAAAAATTAAAGATTTAATTAATCTTTAAATATCATTTATAAATATGAAGGTAAATATTTGATTTTTTACCTTATTGTTTTTTTTTGTTTTGATTCCTAATGATGGTAATATTCAGATGAAATATAATCACAAAATTTTTGAATTGTTACATTATGTTAACCTTTCGTAAATATAATGAGACCTTAAGCCAAACATCTTCATCTTCAAGTAAACTTTTTCCTGGATATTTACCATGACCAATATGTGAAATATTATTATATAATGCATATGATTTAGCTCAAGTTCGAACACAATTTGAAAACCATCTCCATGATTTAGTAATTGTGTAATGATACTAGCTGATTCTAATTTTTGATGATCAGATTTTTGTAATTGAAAAAAGTATTGAACTGCTTTAAATTGAACCTTTTGACCGGATGTTAATTTTTTATCAATTTTAAGTTTATGTTCAATTTTTATAATAAATTCATCTAATAATTATTTGTTTGTTTCTTTTCTTTTATTATCAACATTCCTTTCATCTCTTTCATCATCATCATTCCATTTATCTCCTTCATCATCACCATTTCTTTCTTCTCTTTCATCATCAATTTTTTCGTTACTTATTAAAAAAAACTTATCTAATGTTTGACCATTGGTCTTGATAGATTCATGTATAGACTTTCTTTTCCTTCTTTTAGTTCTAGCTGAATTTCCATGATATTTAAGTGGACACTTTGATTATTTTAAAACTTTCATATTATCAACTAAAGTTTGAAATAAACTTTCCTTCTTTGTCAAAGTATCCATCTTCCAATTCAAATTCTGCATCTAAATCTTCATCATCAGAAGAATTATATCCTTCGTTACCATCTATATTTTCAAAAGACTAAAAAAGATTAAGTTTATATTATAAACATAAAAAGAATTTTTTTATTAGTTTATTCATACCTTCCGTTTTTTTGCTATTTTTCGCAAGCGTAAAACCTTTTGTTTTACTCTCGATATTTTTTGATTATAAATCAGTATTACGATAGATTTATTTTAACTAAAATCAAAATGTAACACAAGTTTAACTTTTTTTTCATAGAACTTACCATATAAAATCCGTTATGTTACACATGTAATTCTGGCAGAATTATATATGGATAAATCGGATATTTTAAAAGCTTATAACTTTTAACGCAATATTAATTTATTTAAAAATAATTTCTCTATAATTTTTTATTAACATTTAAAGATCGTCAAATTTTATTGGATGTCTTATGATGTCACACACTATACCATTGGTATTGTTACAGATATTGACAAAAATAGAGAAATAGTAAGAGTAGCATTTTGTATAAACAAAGGAATTATTGATATTGAAATAGAACAAGAAACTTCACATTTCAATATTAATGGAATACCAGCTTGTAGAATTCAATTTCCATTACAAAATGCTTTTGCCTTAACAGTTCATAAACACAAGCGATAACATTACCACAGACCTCACTTTATTTAAATAATCAAATGTTTGCGCGAGGCCAATCATATGTAGCTTTAAGCAGATGTAAAATCTTGGAATGATATAAAAATTTTGGCTCCTACACCTGATGCATTTTTAGTTGATGAAAGAATAAAAAAAGAATATATTAGGTTAGAGAAATTATCAGAAACTAGATTACCTATTTAAAATCTAAATATTAATAAAATTATTTTTATTAAAATACGAAATAAAACGGGTGGGTGACGTAGTCACCCGCAGTGAAAATCAAATCCTAGTTCAATTCATAATAATTAATTATGTGTGTAGATCATGTCACATTTTAGGAGAAAAAAAAAAACTTTAAGAAAATACCAAAGTTATAAAACAAAAATATTCCATTTTGTTTATGCATAAAAATATTCTAAAATCGTGTGGTATTCATTTTTTTAGTTTCAAAAATAAGATAAAGGAAATGATCTTCAGATTCATCATGAGGCTTGATATAAAAACGGGTAACGATACTATTATTGAAAATAATGTGTTAAGTTCTTCTCAACCAGGCGCACGAAGAAACGGAATACCCCAACAATCAAATAAAAAAAAAACATAAATATCCTTTTATATTTTACGATAAATCGTGATTTAAAGCTTGCTTGATTACGTCACAGTAACATTCCTTTATTAAAATTAAATATGACGAAAATTTTTCTTATGATTTTTATGTTTTATGTTTGCCATGTCGTATTTGGACAGGAGTTGTTTCACTATTGTAACAATCCTGATGCTATCTGTCGTAGTCTAAATGACCAATTAAGACCTTGTTTTTACGGTATTAATTTTCCTGGTCCAATTTTGGGACCTAAAATGGGTTTTGGTAATATATATATATATAAAACGTTTTTTTTCGAATTTTTTTTTTTCCTTTATAAAAAAGTTTAAAATATAAAGGGGTGCTAATTCGATTATTTTATTTATTTATTTATTTATTTTTTTTTAGAAAATTTTCCATTTCCAAATTGCGTGTGTAATCAAGAATTTTATGATGATATGGTTTCCTGTGGAAATACTTGTAATATTCCAGTCGAAGATCCAGAAGAATTTGAATTCGATTGTAAAGATTTCGGAGCTTCAGTAAACCTTGGAGGTGGAGGAGGGTATGTACTTTACAAGTAATGTTTAAAAAAAGATTTTCAAAGATTGTTTGCTCATTTTCATTCATTTTTTTTTTTATTAAGAAATTCAAAAACAATCCCAAATTCAAATACAAATCTAAATCCCAATTCTAATTCCAATACAAACCTAAATCCCAATTCGAATTCAAAATCTAATACTAATTCAATAATAGACGCACCTCAAGATCAAGATCAAAAGTTTCATAAAAATTTATTACCTATTACACTAGGAGGATTGTTTGCTATAATTATATTAATTGCTATTATAATAATGTTTGTAAAAAGAAGAAAGGAACAGTCTCAAGCTCTACAAACACAACCACAATCACTACAAACACCAACAAGTTTAATATACGTCGCTGATCCCCTTAAACCCGCTCATCCCACTCATCCCGCTAATCCTATTCATCCCACCAATCTTACCAATTCCACTAATCCTACTCATTCCACCAATCCTACTCAACCCACTGATTTCCCCCAACCCTATAATCCTTGTAAATAGGTCAATTTTTAAAAAGCAAGTTATTTCTAATATACATCCGGTATGTGTTAGTTATATGTGCTTATACCTTTATGATTTATTTAACGGGATAACGGAAAGAAAGATTGTAGTAATTAGGATTTTTTGAATCCAATTTGTCAATTAACGATCTCTAAGCCAATTTTTATAAATAAATAATAAAAAAAGAGTATTTGTTGCGCCACAAAAAAAAAAACACTTTTAAAAATGAATGCCCGAAATAGTCCTTCTTTTTTAGTAAAATTAATTATATCCTTTATAATAACTTAGATTCATAATCAGTTGATAGCACAAAAGTTCCATTAAACAATACATATTCATTGTTATAAAAAAAAAAACATATTGAGTAATATTTATCGAAGCGTACATTTTTTATGTTTTTAATAAATAATTCATATTAAGTCATCTTTCTAATAATACAAATTTAGCAGGTGAAGTAATAGGATTTTTTATTCAACTCATTATTTAACCTATTTAACCAAGTCGGATGATTTCTTAGTATTACAAAAATTATCATACAAATTCTCTATTTATAAAGCGCAAAGTAGACAACGTTCAATCGAAAGACTTTAACTATATCTCATCGTCATAAAAACATCCCATATTTTAAAAAATATATGTAGATATAATATATTATCGCACGGCCCTATAGGATCATGCTGAGTTTGTTGGACCAATATTTTTTTATATGAATATCAATAGTTTATTTGCGTACAATATTGAGCATCAATAGTATATCTTTGTACAATATTGCTACATAGTAAAAAAAAAAAAAAAAATAGTAAAAATTTAAGGATCTGTAACGTCAATTTTCAAATTAACCTGTTCTAAAACCAATCCTACTATTTATCAAATCAATTAAATTACTAGTATTCATAGTTATTTCTAAGTTAGTATTGCTTGAATCAATTTCTTGTAATGGTTCGCGCATGATTTTTGAATCATCAATTTTTGATATTTTACATTGAGAAATCATAGCAATAAAAAATTAAAATTTATTAATAAAAAATAAACAAGAAAGAAAGAAATGGTTTAAAAAAAAATGTTTATACTTAAATAAACTTTATGTAGAACATGATCTGAATTAGCTGTACGATAATATGGATATTGTACGGTGGTATTTACGTTGGTTAACGTCACTTCGTAACGTTAACCAATATAAATATAACACCGTACAATATCCATAAATTATCATGATGATGAAAACTTTTCTTATTATTTATCTAATAATAATTTTTTATGTCGGGAAAGAGAAAAGCATTGTATTGGCACAAGATTATTTTCATGATTGTAAAAATCCTGACGCTAACTGTTATAAGCTAAATGAATTTTTGAAATTTCAAAATTGATCTTTGCTGTATATATTAAAAAAAAAAAAATTTTTTTCAAGTTGGTCTTTCCTTTATTCTATTTTTTTTTTTTTTGTTATTTTTTTCAGATATATGGACATTTCCAAGCTGCATGTGCAGTCAAGTATTTTATAAAATCTGGTTACTTGCGGAAATGCTTGTTTTATTCCTGTGGATGAGCCAGCAAAATATGAATCCGATTGTGAAATTGGCAATCATCCTGTAAACATCAATGGTGGAGGAGGGTATGTATGTCCAAAAATTGTTTCCAATATCGTTTCTCATACTCATCACTTTTTTTTTATTGAGGAGTTCAAATTCAAACTCAAATACGAATACGAATACAATAAACATAAACAAAAATTCAGATTCAGATTCAGATTCAGATTCAAATTCTAATTCCAGTTCAATTTCATTAACTCTTAAAATAGGAGGACCCTTGTTAAATATATAATTTCAGATCACCGTTCTATTTAAATTTATTTAAGTAATAGTTATCGGTCATGTTGTAGATGATAACTGATTTACCATTAGAATACTATGTATATCGAAGGCCACATGATAAAAAATAGCCATTCTATATGTAAATTAGTTATCATCTACAACATGACCGATAATAACTTATTGGATATGTATGACGTAAGCACCGAACATTTTTGACATATATTATTCAATCACTTTCTAACCATTTTTAGACTTTTATCGACTTGCTTTATTTTCTCACGCCTAATTTTTTTTCTTTTTCATTTTTTTTATTATACATATGACTTTTACACAACTTCCAACACAAGAAGAAATAAGCAATTTGCAAAAAGCTTCACTTGTTTCAAATACTGAACGAAATACTTCTAAATGGTTAAGAGTTGTTGATCATTTTAACAAAAGTTGTGGAATAACTAATTCTATTGAACAAATAGATTCTTTAAAAGATTTAGAAAATTATCTCTGTCAATTTATTACATGGTTGCAAAAAGAAGATGGTTGATTATAAGGTTGAATCTGTTCATAATTGTTATAATGCATTGAATAGATACATAGCATTCTTCAACAAATAAAAATCTTTGGGTGATCCTGAAAAGTCTGATGGATTGTCTGCTAAAGAAATTAAACAAATACTTGATCATTCATATATGGATATTAATTCAAATGAATCACTTACACATCGAATTTTTTTCTGGTTATATTTATTGTGTGGATTACATAGTAGAGGTACATATAGACTTTGTAGAAAAAAATCTTGAATGTCGTCAGGATGGAGACCTAAAACTTATATTATATAAAGAAAAATAATCAGGGTAGTGCTTTTTTTAGAAACAAACATGGAAAATCAGATTCATAACATATTCCTATAGCTTCTGATTCACCTGATAATCAATATATACTTATAAAAGATATTCTTTTATTTTTATCTAAATTATCACATTCAACTTTATCACAAGATCCTTTATTTCATAAAACATGCAAAAGTAAAAAAGGTATGTTATAATATATAGTATAATATATTTGATATGTTTATTATTCTTATAATTTAATTATTTACAAAAGGGTAATTGGTTTAAAAATACTCCAATAGGTTATACAAAACTTAGAAAAATGATGAATAATATTGCAATAAATACTGGAATTAATCTTGATAATGAACATAAAATTACAAACCATTCTTGTTATCATACTGCAATTCAAATATTAAAAAATAATGAGCTTTCTGATTCAGATTTACAATTATTTCTGGTCATTGGTCTCATGAAAGTTTGGCAGATTATTGCAAAACTAGTGATGATCAACAAATATCAAATACTGCGATGTTGATTCCTTTTTCATTGGATAAATATAATTTATCTTCTAATAAGATACAAATGATAAAAAATGTAAGATTTTAAAATTTTTTTACTTCACATAATTTAAATTTTAAAATATTTATAACAATTTAAAAAAACTCAAGTTACTCAAGAAATTCTAGTTCAAGAAATTCAAGTTCAAAAGTTCAAGAAATAGATGAATCTAATGTTAAATCAAAAGCAATTGACTTTTCTATAACTCAAGAAATTCAGGTTTCTACAATTCAAAAACTCAAGTTAAGAAATATCATAATTCATCCAAAATGGTACCTTTTAAATCACCTTGTCATCTGGATTCTCCAATGTTAGCCTAATATAGAAAATGTCAAAATCTATTATCTTTGTTAATAACAATATTATTATTAAACTTCCTCTGATTACTTTCTCACAAAGTTATAGTTTAAATATTAATTTAAAAATTTTCCTTTAATTAATTTTGAAAATTATGATTTTATTGTAAAGTAAACAAAAATTTGTGTATTTTAAATATGAAGTGAATGAAATTTATGTATCACATTAGAAAGTGATTAAATAACATATGTTAAAAATATTCAGTGTTTACATAAGACATGTCTGATAATATTTTGTTGAGGGTAATTGGCTATATTACACCTATGTGTTTAATTTCTTTAAAGCAAAGAAGTAAGCTTTAACTACTTGATTAATGACCTTAGAAGTAAGATGTCAGCAGTTATTTCAATAGCAACTCAAAATATTTATATTATTTTATTTTTTTTATTTTAAATGATTCAAGAACTGCTACATAAATATTTTTCTTAATAAAATTTATGATAAAATTATATGCCTTTCCTTTTCAATTTGATTAAATTTCATGTAGTAAGACTTTAAATATTATTTTTTTTAAAAAAAAAATAGATTTTTGCATATTTTTGTGTTGATTATAATTCTGGGTAAAAACAATATCACTTCGGATTCAACAAAAAAATTTTGTGCTATATACATACACAATCAAGTATTTAAGCTTCCCCAATATACAGTAAACATTAAAGCAAGATTATGTTTGAATGAAGAACAGAAAAATTTCTTGACGGAAATCATATGTATAATCATTATTACAAATCTTATTATTTTATTTGGAACTACGGTCTAAATGGTAATTAAAAAAACCCTAAAAATGTGTGTATGGTTTTTGTTTAGAAAAAACCATACACAACTGAAGAATGCTGCGGTCCGCCGAAATTTATGAAAAAAAAATACCAAAAAAAAATATTCCTTTGCGACACACTAAGCGAAATAATTAAATAAAGAATACCGAATAATTGCTGCGCCCCGAAGCAAAACAAGAATCACGTGACTATTCTTAATCATTGCACATTCTACAACAAAAAAACCACAACTTATAAATCAGAATTAACCTTTTTTTTTATAAACTCTCCTACAAATTTATTTTTTTTTATCAAAAACAATATTAAAAAATTTCGACGAATATTTGCTATGTATCGGTCAAACAATCCAGTACGAACCCACACTTTTTTTGCTTATTAAATAAATTTTTTTTTATTTATTTTCTACAAATCTACCATAACTTTTCGGACTGGGCACCAGATACTCCAACTGTGGATAACGCGAAATGGTTTATATTTCTTCTTTAGCTTTGCTTAAGGTAGGAAATCAAATCAGTTGTCATAAAAATTTCTGGTTTTTGCGTGGTTATTACTGGGTTAGAAAATACTATTCATCACGCTAATAATTTTCATTTTTAGTATTTGTTATTTGATAGATGTTAAAACACGGTTAGTTTTTATTTAATTTTTCCAAGTATTATTCAACATCAATTTATATAAATTATTGATAGGACGTGCCGAAGTACCTATGGAAGTTATGGATTTGATGCTTGGTGAATTCGTGTACGTGTAATTGATGTATTTGCTACGCCTCAAAGTGGTACAGGCGTTTCCGTAGAAGCGGTCGATCCCAAAAATTTTGGATATGTTGAAGCAAACTGGACGGTATGAATTGAAGCTCTTTTGTGTATGAGATTATTGAGGTTCATATCTGATTTCGATTATAGACCCGAAATGGTGGTTGGCTGGTATCACTCTCACCCTGTATTTGGATATTGGCTGTCTAGTGTAGATATAAATACATAACAAGGTTTTGAGGCATTGAATCAAAGGGCTGTGGCTCTTGTTGTTGTTGATCCGATATAGTCTGTCAAAGGCAAAGTAGTTACTGATGCTTTTCGCCTGATCAATCCTCAAATGCTTATGCTAGGTCAAGAGCCACGTCAAACCACTTCCAATATTGGAC